ACTTCAGCCCAACATGAGACTTATAAAACTTGAGAGAAAGGCCCTGAAGGCACAGCATTATTTTCAGGATTTCCTGCTGTCACCATCAGGTGCTGTGCACCTTTTTCTGTACCTAACTCTGCCACTGAGAGCTAATTGTGGGTATTCACTGGGAGTCAGCATCTGAGTCCTTTTAAAGGCTCTGATTGCAAAAGTGTCCTAAACAAATTGTGTGGGGGAAGTTTTATATTGCAGAGTATGTGGAAGTACAGTGAGTAAACAATTGAGTTCTTGTTTTCAAAAGTACTGTAAATGAAAAAAAACTAATAGAAAATTAGTAAAAACCTGAGATGAAACTTTAGGTATTCAATTGAAATAAAGAATTAAATAGTTGAAGAAAAACAGCTTTTACAGGCCTGATTGTAAAGCTTATTCCAAAGAATACACCTATACTTTAATATCTATAAAAGCAAAGTTTGTTATTTTACTGCTCTTTGCATTGATAACAATCCTTCCCTAGTCAGAATGTTGTGTTACTGGAGATGGACTAACAAAAAGTTGCAGCTAAATTTCTGGTGGACAGGAGGGAATTTTTTTTGAGACAGTGGCACAAATTATACCTGACAGTTTTGACTATCTAAGAAAGCCAGCATCCTGACTCTTGGCCCTCTCCTAATCTCCTCACTGCACTCAAGACAGCTGGGTTTCAACAGCTCACATGGTTCTCACAGAATAAATGCCTTCAGCAACAGGAAATATTTTCAATATTTTCTGTTTCCTGTAGAGACAGATAGAAAAGTCATTTTCTTAGGTTTAATAATAACTTGAAGGGGAATAGCTCAGTATATGTTAATACAAAACAGCAGTCAGCAAATAGAGAGCCCATGTCTAAATCTGATGCCAGTTAAACTATAGAAATGGGAGCCAATGGAATTGGAGTRTTAGGATCAGCCAGGAACCTCAATACAGCCTAACCTCTACTCTGTGTCAGCTAACAGAAAATTAATCTTATTTTTACAGGTTGCTGAAAGTCATGCCATGTCTCRGGGAGGCATCTGTTTCACCAATGAGAACAAATGATGGGAACAAGGTGAAATGTAATAGAGAGGGACCTGAAAATGCCAGAAGGGAAAAGCTGGACAAGGATTGTACCACTGTCTTGGATGTGTGGGAATGATGTGTCCAGGAGCTGTGGTTTTTATCAGACATCAGAGTCAAGATGCTGCACATGGAACAGCTCCTTCCTAAGATGGAAGAACTTGCTGAGGTAAAGGTTTCCAGCAGCTAAAAGCAGTGCCCATACTGTGTATCTCCCAAATCATGTAATCAGTTAAATCCAGCAACAGCAGAGCTAAGCAAGAGATTCAGTTTTTAACATTATGCTGCGCTGATGTTTGTCCCAATGCCACTGTCATGAAAGTTCATCAATAATAGACCCAGACACAACACCTTTCTCACTGTGCAGCCACGTGGCTAAATTTGTGAATATAACCATGTTTAAAATCATTTGGGGATGCCGCCTGAATAAGGACAAAATGTGGAATAAAGGTTTGCATTTAGGTCCAGCAAGAACAAAGCAAATGCCATTTTCAGTTCTGGGTATTTTCCTAGGAACAACTTTATCACTCCCATTGCCCCAATTCGTATGCAAATTAARCACCACATTTGTTTAAATTAGCTAGAGAAACATACACAGAAGCAAATGCTGCTAGATCTGGGTTATGGTGCATATCTGATGGCGCAGCAAGGTTCTAAGTACTATGTTAACAGTACTGCAGCTTTAAAATGTTTGCTTTAAGTGTTAGCAAACCTCAGTCTTGAAATCAGTGTTACAGGCTTTCTGAGGAAGCATTAAATTGAGTAAGTAAGAGCTAAAACCTTTTTTCTCCCTCTGCCTCTCCTCCCAAAAATAGCAGCAAACATAAAAAGCAAATTAATCTTCTTKTCATTCCAGACATAATTTTCCTTTCTTAGAACAAAACTCATCCCTATGTTTCAACTACTGCATACATTGCAGCATCCATACTCATAGCACCACACTCAGATTTTCAGGTAGATATCACCTGAGGCATTCCAATGAAGAATAAATAGAATTTCCAAGGAAGAGACACATCTCTTTTGATTATAAAATGTATAAGAATTATAATTTTTGAATGGTATTTCTTAATGTTGTCCATTAGAAAGCTTCTTAATGCCTGGAATGAAGTTTGTATAGGATGCATAGGTGGAAACTTGAGTCTCCAGTTCTGCTATTAATGTATCAAAATTAAAAGTTAAAAAATTKCAACCTGTAAGTATAAGACTAACGCTCATATTCTACTGCTTTGCCTGCAGTAAAAAATCTCTTTTACATGCTCCCCAAAACAGCACTAATTTTTCAGTTGAGGTCTTCCTTTAGGAGAACAGAATATCCTCARTGTCTTACAGTAATACTACCTCAATTATACTTCAAGATTTCTCCTGTGTGCATTATTTGCTTATGATTTATTATGATTTCCAGATCTCATTTTACTTTGCTTAATCACTCATACTCTAAATTACACCCACCATTCTCCCCTCAACACATCCCCAGGGTGTGTGTTTGAGGTGTAGTGAACTTGTCATTTGAAATTTTCTTAAGGTGAGAAGAAAGGCTAGCTGCACATAAACACCAGAAGAGCAAATGATGCAGCCCACAGAGGACCAAGACTTAATTTCATTGTGTTTCATCAACAAGCAGTTTGTATGTGGAGAACGATAGAATTGATATTGATTGAAAAAACTACATAATTTAACTTTTTGTGCTCATATATGTGACACATAAGCTTAACCAGAAATTTTGTCAGTGCTGRAGAGATCCTTGCAAAACAACAGGTTCATGACAGGTATCTGGAATTTTCTGAGCTCTTCTCTTTAAACCAGTAATATCTAAATATTTTACCCTTTTAAAACCGTTTCACTTTAAAAAAACCCAAACAAACAAAAAAAAAAATCCAAACAAATCMCCAAAGCTATAAATTATTTAATTTGGCTCTAGAAGTAATATCTGTAGGAGTATTACGGGAGTCACAGTGATATAATTTTTATTATAAATTTATAGCATCTAAATATTTTAGAGACCATCCACAAAGGTGGAAGTACAGCCTTCCTGGCAAAAATGCAAACTCACACCTTAAAAAAAAAAAAAAAAAAAAAAAAAAAAAAAAAAAAAAAAAAAAAAAACCAAACCAAAAAAAAACCAAACCCAAAAAAGCTCCCTGGCCATAAGCTGAATAGAAAAGCCCTGTTTCCCTGTAGAAGGTGAAAGTCTGAGAGCACACCCCACTTAGTGACTTGACTGATCCAGTGTGGAAGAGCACTGCCTACAGCTGTCCAGKGAAGGACCCTGAGTGGCACAGGTTGAGGGAATTGTGGTGAGGGGCTGTTAAGGAGCAGTTTCTGCTCAGGAAGCTCACTGGAAGATGATCAGTGTGTGATAACCCAGATAGAAACTCTTCACTGAGATACAAATGGGATTTCTGGGAAAYGTCTCTGTTCCAGTTAAACTGGGATTGGTCCTAATGAGGTTGGTGGGACATTTGGTTGTTACTGCCATTACCCAAGAAAGGACAAAACTAATGGGTGAAGGTTWATGTTTTTATAGTAATAAATACCAAGAGCCCCAGGGTACATGATGAGAGTTTCCTGAATGTGGCCATGCCTGAGAGAAAAGGGAGCATGGGGAGCATGGGGAGCACAGCCACCAGCCCAGCCCAGGGAGCAAGGATGCAGCCCATCATCATCACTGGGACTGCAATGAATGCTTTGAAAGCAGCTATTGTTTGTGGCCTACATAAGCTGACAAAGTGCCTTCAGAGCTACTTCCCACCAGAGAGACATTATTATTATTATCTGGATTTATTTCTCTGTTAGAGGTATTTGACCAATTTTTGCACAGTGGGCTTTCTTTGTATATTCTCCCCTAGAGCTGCAGTCTTTTCTGTCAGAAGTTTGSTCTCTATAAGGAGTTCAGCAGCAGGTCACAGACCTGGTTTACAAATGAAAAGAGAAGTAAACAACCAACTTAGAAGAATAAGAATACTCCACAGATCTTTAAGTAATCTCTTGAGAAGCTASAAACAGTTAGTTCTTGGACTTTCTTGTTTTTCTCTTCCTGATGCAGCATCCTCACTTCTCTGAGGTCAAGCACCTTTTCATTTTTCCCTCGGATTTATCATTGCTAGGTGATATCCAGAGAGATGATAACGGGTTTTAGAGAAAAGAAAAAAAAAAATTAAAGGAAATAAGAATAGGGCAATCTGCAGTTTGAGTGCACATCACTGAGCCTTTGGTCACAGGTGTTTGCATAATTCCCCCCACACCAAATGTTTTTTTCTCTTGGGAAAATCTGCCTCACGTTTAGATAAACTTTGTTTGTGGAAGGTGTTTCATTATAAAAAAGGCAAAACTTAAAATCTAAAGAGCTAATATGGAACACCCAAATCAGAATGAAAGTTGCGGAAAAACTAAATATGGGACCAAAACTCAGCATTCCATTGATAAACACCTCATCTACTCTGCAAAAATCAAAGTCTGCAAAACCCTAAATAATAATTCCAAGGCGAGTTTTAAATTTAAGACATTTCAGTGCCTGTCTGTTTCAATGTTTAGGAAGAAATAGTCAGCACACTTGAGGGAAGGCTTTTGCTGATGAATTTTCCTCATTTGCAAAACCAGGATTTGATGAGTTTTCTCACCTATTCTTTTATGCGTTCTGTCTTGCCATTACCTAATACAGATCCTGATTTTTCCTGACTTTGAATCAGTCTTAACATCTAATTGTTTTCCATTTTTCCCAACAGATTTTTATTTTAACCACCTTTTTCAGATTGACCTGAAATTCGGAGTGCCAATCTCTTCCTTTTCTCTACAAACAGCACTAAATAATGGCGTAAGGTCAACAAAACCTGAAATACTGAGTGACTCATGTACTTTTATACATTTACATACATCCATGGATATATACACGTGCGAATATGCACATGTAGGAAAGAAGAGCTTACCTATGTCCCAAGTAAGGGGATTATTCTGTTCCATCTCCCTTTTCCCTATGACATACCAGATGCAGGCCATCCAGTGAGCGAGCAAGGCAAACATGGACATGAGAAGCGTGAGGACGATTGTGCTGTGCTGGGAGTAACGATCCAGCTTCTGCAGGAGGCGCAAGAGGCGCAGAAGCCGTACTGTTTTCAGGAGGTGGACCAGGGAAACCTGGGAGAACAGGGAGGGAAAACCACTCGTCAGCAGCTAAAAAAATTGTCAGCATCTTGCTTCTATCACTCAGTTCTCTTGTTTCAATGAAAGGAAATTTTAAAGCTCTATGAAGTTTTGCCCGCTCTTTATTTAGCTGCATAGCTGACTAGACTAAATCTTAAGACAGCAGAGAATGGCAAAGAAGATGCTTAAAAAAAAAGTGTTAAATTGTGTAAGTACATAATTATTATTTCTGGTTTAAACCACACAAATTTGGAATACTAGATCTTGCATGTTGCCTTTTTTTTTTTTTTAATGTGGTCTTTCAGATTTAGCTCAAAAATTTGTGTTGGTTAAACATGGATTCTTCCCAGCTCTAGAAGAGAAATGCAATTGTCAAATTGACCCATGTTCATTTGACTTCAATATGAAACCACAAAATWAATATCACCAAGCAGACAATGATTTTCAGATTCTAGAAGAGAAATGCAATTGTCAAACTGACCCATGTTCATTTGATTGCAATATGAAACAACAAAATAAAAATCTCCAAGCAGACAATGATTTTCAGCCTCATCTAACAGTAGACCTAATTTAACTCTGTATAAGATGAAACCAGTTTACAATTTAGCATAGAAAAGGAAATAACACATAGCAGATATTTTGCAGAACAATAAAGCAGAGAAGTTAGAGAGGGCTCAAATTTATTCTTGAGATTCAAACCTGTGTTCATGGACCCGAGCATATTTTACTSTTCTGTACTAAGTAGTGATGAAAAAAAAGCTTTCATTAAAACTTCTAATATTGTTTCTTAATTCCCTAACTAAAATATTATTGCCTTTCAAGTTTATGTGGCAGAAGCGGCACCTAATCTGCTTAGCACCCTAAGTATAGGTCTGTTTATGAAGTTTGTGGCTCTGGCCTTAGAACTGAGAGTTTCAACATGAAGTGAGCAATCACTGCATGAACCCATCGCCTCCAGAGCATCCTGCAGCCTACTTCCATCCCATAGTGTGCACAGCTCACTGCTTTGCATGGAATGCACTTGGCTTGAGTTTGAATTGTTGGACAGGGTTAGCAAACAATGTACAGATTAGGATCCAAATACCTTTCATGTATTTAAGATTAAATAGCCACAATTTTCATTAGCAGTAAGCTGTTTTTAATTCCCTCATTAATGAGACATTGGGATTAATGCCTGCCAGGTACCTGGTTCGTACAGGATACTCGCATCAGCTGGAAAAGTAACATCAGACTTCAAATGACTTCCCACATCACTCCCAAAGCACAGTAATGAGCTCTTTCAAAAGCAAGTTTAAAAMCACAATTCTTTTGCTTTAGCTAGTCCAGAATAACCTGAAGCTCAACCTTTCTGTTGACAGAACTAATGATCTGAAATCTAAATTTAATAGGTGTGCATTCACTAACAGCTAGATCTGAAGTGACTGATAAATTCTGTAACATCAGGTGTTTTTTATTTGTTCAGAGTCTTAAAAACTCATTGATTTTATTCTAGTCTCTGGGATTAAGTAGGTGGGAAACCTGTAAAGAAGAAAATTAGAAATCTACAAACACATATTTTTTGTCACTAAAGYTTTGGTAGTGCACAAGTAATTCTCCCATGAGCCTCTTCAAAGGGCAATACTTGCAGCTCAATATTTTTTTTTTTTTCTCAAGAACCTTTACATTTTTTTTCTCAAGTACATAGCCAGGAAAAATAGAAAATCAACAAAAATATGACATTTTTTTCAAAGTACATTGTGAAAATAAGATCTGACATTTGAACATGCAAACATTTACAAGGTATTTTCTTGCATTTTTCCTCATGTTATGCTCCATCTAGACTGTCAGGGAATTAGTTATGTCTGTGGGCTTAAGCCAAATTTTATATGATTTTAATAATCATATAACTTTAATTAATAAYTATTCTATGACTGTCATGAAACTCTATCAGCTGCCTCTGTTTTGGTGCTAATTCATTTCCCAAAGTCTCYTTTTCTCCTCTCTCATCACCTTGTTTGAACCAAACATGGTTCTGTTGCACTTACAACAAAGATGGGTCCCTATTCATGACTGRCTCTTCAAGATGTTGCAGTAACATACAAACACTTATATAATGATTTTGTATATAAATGATTATATATGTGCTATGGCGTACACATTGTAGCCTTCATCTTTCATTGGGAGCCAATAATTTACCATAGCACAAAATAATAAATAATAATAATAATAATAAACTTAGATTTTTTTTCTTTTTTAGATTCTTACAAAAAAGAAATTGCAAAAGGACTGTTATAATTATATGTGTGCCCTGCCAGTTATCARTCTTGCCTAAATTGTGACCATTTCTGTTAAGCCACAGGTATAAAGACAGTGAATCATATATCATAATACTCTTTTTAATRGGGAAACATGTTTTATTATAAGGCCTAAGGACTGCACTGCTCCACTTCAAAACAATTTCTGCGTAAACTTGAACACAGATGTAATTAATCATAGATGGTTGCACTGAATTTTCTCATTAGTCATGTCAAACACTCTTCTGGTATTGTGCCCAATATGTCATTGGAAGATCTAAGATGCCATCAGGCAGCTTCTTTTTCTATGTCACAAATTTAGAAGACAAAATAAGGAGTCAGCACTCATACTTGTGCCTACATAGATTTTTCTTTGCCCACAGATATAAAATCATCAAAATTTTCCATTGTGTTAATCGTTTTAGACTAGCTGGGTTAACCTTTTTCTGTCAAAAGGAGAGGGACAGAATTTTATCTGAGACTAACACAAAGTCAATCAGCATAGTCCTGAGAAGGACTGACAAAAAATAAAGGTGCTACAAAACAGTGATGAAATTCTCTTTTACGTAAGAAATGAGTTAATGAAAAAAGAGGACACATTTTAAGAAATGACTAGCAGCAGAGATTTTTGATCAATTTTTGTCCACTTGGTTAGTTGCTTTTCCTCAAATTTGATACTCTTGCTCTATAATCACACTAGCTATCCAGAAAGGAACAATTCAATTATTATTAACAAGTGCTTAATGTCCCATTTCTTACGGCAACATTTGACACGATATTTCAACAAATAAAAGGATCCTTTATTGAACACAAAGATGGAAGGACCTGGGATCTTGGCATGCACTGAGGATAGGCAGGAATGTGCCTGTGTTCTCAGATGTCCAAAGAGTCCCTGATTTTAATGGTAGGGCGGAATCCAGGTAAGCAGAGCCAACTCATACAGTTTTACTTTAATTTCTTTTGAAATACGTACAAAGAKAACAAACGACTCCACAGCATTTACATGCACTCTGGCTCCATCAATCTCCAGCTGGGGTATGACATATGTGTGCCATACATATGTGGGTATGTATGGCACTATACCTATAGCTTGCAGAATTTAGAGCGTCCCTAAAGATTTGGCCTTTGTGCCGGGRCCTGAATGGCAAAGGGGTGAAATCCTCCCTGATGCCCCTTCTCACCGTTCTGTTGAGGCGACATCTGAAAGTTGATGAAGTGAAAATCTGAGAACAGACATGAGGAAATGGCTCATTAAATCTTGAAGTCTGAAAACAGTGTAAGATGATCAACTCCTTCCCCCATTCTTGAATCAGCTGGTAAGTCATTGTTATTTTGACGATTATATTAACAGTTGCTAGATCTTGTCATGATATGAGATATGATATAGTAAGGCACTGTGTTCCCATCAAGAATCATGTAGAGATCTTATTARGGGAAAAAGTTCAAAGGTACAACAGAGAGGAGATGTGTATTAATCCTATTATAGTAGCATTTTCTATATTGTGATATTTTAACTGTAAAATAATCACTGGATACTTTCTTTTCCAGAATTAAGTATTCAAAACATAGCAGTCCTTCCAGTGGGGGCAAAAAAGCATTTTCAGTGTTTTTAAATTTTCTCTTTGAAAGAAAATGTAAACCTGGTTCATTTAGTGAAAAATTATTAATGGAAATTAAACAAAGTGCATTATGCTGGTGGCTCGGTTTGAAGGAAAAAAAACCTGAGAAATTAATGTATTTAAATATATCACCCACCACTTATAAAGAAACAGTGATTAAACAATATGTTACTGTTAACTGTCAGGTTTTAAAATCTACTGCACTAGCATCAGATTGATGGTTCTTTATATAATAAATGGCATGAAAAGGGAGTTCATCAAAGGAAATGGAACTAAATAATAAAATCAAACATGATACTGTACGTGGGATTCCTGACTACTGTTTTCTAAGTTTTGGGGTTATTTTTTCTAATATTTGTTTATCCTATCATCTCTGTACTTGTTTGTAACTCACTTTGAATGAAATTGAGATTGAGTGCATCTGTTTATGAAAGGTCAAAACTCTGAGAATCAGAGAATAGACAGTTAAAAACCTTAGTCTCATATGGCAAAAGTCCTCAAAATTAAGAAACCGTTTTTTTTCCAAAACTAAAATTTCTGGTTCAGAGGGGCAGGAGACGTTTGCATTTTTTTTTTTTTTTGGGGGGCAATTTTGCTTAGTAGATTCTAACTCTACAAAATNATTCTTTGTTTGCTTTTTTGTTGGTTGCAATTTTGCTTAGTAGATTCTAACTCTACAAAATCTAATAGCGCTAGCAGAATAAAAACCTTTGTCAGCACAAGTAAGCCAAAACAAATGCCACCCATCATGATTGTGATGTTATCTGACATTATAACAAACAATTTTTAAAGCAGATTTAGCCTGTTGTCATTACATTCCTAAAAAAAAGATGAGTTAAAACCAAAGTCAAATTACATGATAGTTCTAAGCAATACATATTGGAAYACACAAAACTTAGTAGTCAAAAATTAGCTGTAATTTTTTCATTGTAAGTCCCAGAAGTAAAGAGAAAGAAGATTCCTGGCCAAATGAATATGCTGACCATACTGACCATAACCATCATATACTTTACCACAGTAAAAATTTATGAGTCTTAACAAATTAGGGACTGAATTTCTGCACCATAAGAGAGCCATAGTAAACCGTATTTGAATACAGGAATTAGACATGAAGATAACACAGATGCAACTGTTAAAAAAGCAAGGATAATTGTATTAAAAAATTGGTACATCCAGTGTGAAAATACTCGCAAACCTGTAAAACACACCAAGGTATTTTAGTTCATTCACTTTTAGTCTCTAGATCTGGAAAAAAAAGAAACCAACCCAACATCAACAAAGCTGTTTTGAGAAAAGAGAAAATTAAGAAGACTGGTTGGTACTTACCACAGTGACGTTGAAAGCATAAAGAAGATCAAAAGGAAGTGCAGCAATTAAATCAATGATAAACCACGTAGTCACATAGTGGATGCAAATAGATCTTGCTTCAAATATKACTTGGCCAGACTTGCTGACATAGGTTGTTCGGAAATTTAAAATAATATCTGCTTGACAAAGAATGAACAGAATTAGAGACAGTGATCTCTTGATTCCTGGGGATAACACCAGGAATCCAGCATAATACTGATTATTTTCTTGTGCATCATAAATACCAGATAAATAATCTAATACAGGAAGAAAAAAAGAAACATAGATATACATGGAGTTAAAGCAATTAATGCATGATTCTTTTCAAGGAGTAAACAGAATGTCTAAAACATTTATAACTGATATAAAAACTTGAATCAAAAAACAGCTCCCACACACATGGCTCCTTAAAGTGTATCAGATGCTGGTATTTTTATAAATGAAAAAATAAGGGTATTATTTTTGTCCATAAAATTTATTTGCATTTATTTTTAAATAAAAAAATATAATTAATGATTTTATTTAAAAGGCGTAATTTTAACTCCTTGAGTGGTAACTGCTCAGCGTAGAGGACAAATGTCATCCTCAAGGATAACCATTTTTTATATCAACTGCAAAGTGCTGAACACACTTGAGCTAAAGGCTTTTTGGTCTATGGTGGMGATCACAAAAGTGATATGAATTGCTTGGTGATTTGTGTATTTTATATGGTCCCATCTAACATTCCAGGATGCGTGTCTTTCAGTATGAGATACACTTCTGACATATCTTGCCAAAACACATTAACACTTGAAGAAAAGATCAGGTCATGACAACAGAATCTCAATTATTTGCATGTCCTACAAAATGAAAACTGTAATCTGTCCTCAAGCTATGCACCCTGTTTCTACTGACATTAGTGAGAACTACTTGTGTAACTTTTGCAGTGTCAGAAAAGTGTGCAGCCAACCATTAAGGCTGGTGTTTTACAGCGAGAGAGTTTTAGGGGAAAAAAAAGAGATTAATTTGCATTTATCCCTAGAAGTTCTTTTGGTAGGCTACACTAGGACTGCATATAGTAAGACCTTTTCTTCAAGCCTGCTAAAKATAATATTGAAGAAGACAGGAAAAAAAATTTTTATTCCCTGCTGAGGGCAAAGGGAAAAAGCAGAGAGATATTCAGTWCACAGAGAAAATCATGTGGGATCGTTCCTTTGGGGTATGAGAGAAGATTTCTTTAGGATAAATTTCAAGGAAATCCCAAGTTCTAATGTTCTAGGTCTGGAGAATAATTATTTCCCAGGCTTCACCAGCAGAAAATTTTTATGCTGTCTTCTGCAGTTTGAAGTCAGGCAGTCTGCTCTGCTAATAGTAAATTTATGGTATTTCTAACAGCTTAACCTCGGCCATTCCTTCCCTTTGACCCAGTAGAGTTGTCTCCTGAGTTAATGAAATCCTTGGAGAATTTCTCGCTGTTTTGGCACAGTGTTGGTGCTGCAATTTTTTAGGGTTATGTGCAAAACCTTAACGCAAAGTGACCTAGGGACATATCCAAGGCTGTCTGGTTCCATGGACTGAGGTCTTGCAGGTTATAATTGTTTTGTGGTTTAAGAATTACTGTTTTCGTTCAGCCAAGTCCTGAGGCTGAACGGAACATATAAGTAAAATCAGAGATACAGTAATTTTAGATTAACTCATGAGGTAGCCTCAGCTGTCCCTGAATTCTTTAAAGCTACAAAAATGTGATTAAGTTTTCAATAATACAATTAAAGTGGGAAAATAACACCATTTCATATGATTCATAATGAGCAAGGGGGTCAATTCGACTCCACAGGCACTTCATACAGACAGTTGGTTACCAGGAACATTTCCAGACCAGTATGGTAGCACCAGTCACATACAGAACACCTTCATACATATTTGAAAATGATAAGAAAGAAAGACAGTGATATTTATATCACTAGTGTTTCGAAATGTCTCATCCTCATTTGTCTCAGAAACTCCAAAGTGCAGTTACCAAAGTCAGAAAAAGCATTTGCTTATTTATTGCACATTAACCTTTGTGAATCAACTAAGTCTTTAACAGAAAGGGAAATAAATTCTTGCTTTAAGTGTAAGACATCCAGTACACCAAAGGCTTATCAATGTGCATATGCAATTCACCTTCAAGATTGAAGAGATTAAAGGTTTTTCTGCACTGCACCTTTTTCTGCCTTCCTATCAAAGCAATTTAGGACAGTAGCCCCAAATAATAGCTATATATTAAAAATAAAATAGGGAATGCTAAGTGCTTCTTTCTGCATCCAACTTATTAGRTAAAAGAAAGTCCAGAGGGTGGGAAGCAAGTGTGATCCATCTTGTATTTCTTGACAGTTTTCTGAGCTGTACTTGGGTGTAAACAGTTTCTTCATCTGGGCAATCTTTTTTACAGCCTAATTGCAGTGCTAAAGTACTTACTGAGGAATCTCTAAAGGAAAAATTACAAACCAGAACTCCTGAGGAAAAAAACCTAAGAGCACAACAAAATCTTTAATACAAGTTTAGAAATGACAAGTTTCTTCTGAGRGATTGCATTATTTCTAAGAATTATATATTCCATAGCTTTCTTGGGATTTCTGTTTAAAAAGTGGAAGATTTACTTTTATCCTTTTTTTTTTCTTTTTTAATAAATGTTTTCTTATCACTAATAATACCTTCTGAAAGCATGTATGCATTATTTAATATTTTAGAAATTGTTAATTCTAGGTTCTACCAACTGATGACAATTGAAAGAACAATTTGAAATTCAACAGAAGCATCAATAATGTAAATCTTTGGAGATTCCAGGTAACTCAAGAGCATCAAAACTAATGCTTTTTCTCTGGTGTTGAGTTTGTTCTGAACACTCTGTTATGAAGTGAGTTTTAATCATTTCCTGCAACATGAAGGGCAACAATTTTAAGTTCACAYCTGTAAACCAGGCAAGAGGGACATTTCGTCTCTTACCTGATTTTTAAAGCATATACAAAGTAACTCCAACATATTTGGATAATTAATGGGTCAAATTCTTTTCTACAAAAGGTGCATTTGAATATACTACCTTTAAGTATGTTCTAACAAAAAAATTCAGCCTGTGCAAGCTTTATATTTAAAGCTGTGTTTGATATGTTTGTTTTAAGCTGGGACAAGAACTGCAGTCTCTCTTTGCTTCAGCATCTGACACAAAAATTGAACCTTAATAATAAAGATTATTCCTAAAGGAAAAAAATCTGAATTTAATTTATTGCAATTTTTTTCATGTAAGATGGGAAATCTTCACTTTTAATACTCTTGTAAGCTATATAGACCATGCCATGTGCTCAGGAAAGGAGAATATGGCATGTAAATAATCTATCTGATGTAAGAAATGTCATTACAAAGCCTTCTAAAATTAAGTAGGAGTAACAGCAGAAAATATCAAACCTGTCATTACACCTGCCTTGAAGTATAGCACACACATATCTAAAATAYCATATTTTTCTTGATGTAGAGAGGGAGAAAACAATTAAACCTCTTTATTCATGTCTTCTTTAGGAAAATAATTGTGCGCTTATTTTGTTACATAATTCAATTTCATTTCAAATTATACAGAAAAAAGTCAGCATTTCAGCAAATTAAAGCTCAATATAAAGACTAGACTGTGCTATTGGCTTCAAGAATGGCCTTTAAATAATGTTTAACTACAACAATTTTTTCCCCTGAGATTTTTACTGTGTTTAACACAGATGCACATTGTGTTAACAAACACCAGTGTGTCTTAAACCAGTCATGATCTCCTTCCCCACTCATTTCTGTGCACACTGCAGTGTGTGAACCTTGAGCAAAGAGTGTCAGCCTTCCAGGCAGTGAGTTATTATTCTTCTGTTGAACACAAAGGTGAACTTGACCTGAAAGCTCTCAACGGGGAGAACCCAAGATCTCAAATTTCGGGAGGCTTGGAACAAGGAATCCCATCACCCATGCACACCAAGTAGGAAAAATTGGCTTCTGCTCCCCACACACTCTGATACAATTGCCTGCTGATGTAATTACTTTCTGGTTTTTGAGTCCTGTTCCTCTGAGTTTCCTTTCTCTCTGCCCTACACACTGATCACCTTCCCCTACCRACCCCACACAACACACACCAGAAACCCTTTTAGGCACTAAGTCCTTAAGACACGTGCAGAAATAATAAACAGTGACTTTGTGAAACCACAACTGTGATTTTTCTCCTGGTGGGATCCCACTGCTAACCAGCTCAATCTGTGTGGGTTCTCTCAGTCTTTTATTTCCACTACTGGGAAGGGATGGCAAACAGCCCTTAAGAAAGTAATTCTTGTAAGAAATGTGATATCTCTAAAACTCGTGCAAAGATATACTGAAATGTTAAAGAAAATACATTTTTATAAGAACAAACCCCAGTTTTTTTCAGCCATGAAATGAATTTGAAATTTTTATCCATAGACAGTTGCAGTTCCTAATTTATTTATATATTTTGCTCCAGTTAAGGTCTTACACAGTATTCACAGCAATAAACACCAGAACATTGGGACTGTTACTTTCCTAATGTCTTCCAAGTTTGTAGTTCTCATGGCTGCATGCTTCTGTTATATTTTTATTCCAAATATCTGCAGAAAATAACTGGACCTAACTGAAAAGTTCTAAACAATTAATTTCCTTATTTAAGTGTTCTAATGACTTTTACTCACCTTTWGTGACTATTTTCTTTTTCACAAGATTTCCATGAAAATTCATGTCCTAGAAATACTTAATTCTTAAGAAAAGGCAACTTATTTCATAGCTGGGTCTAAAAGGGCYGGGATTTCTAAGCAAGTCCCTAAGGTTTTGAAACTGTTTGGTGACATCCCTTGGATTAAAGCTCTGTGTGACATGCCACATCCTTGACCAAGCCATCTCCTTCTAGATTTCTATTACATAACACATTCACACACAGACACATTCACTCAATGAATAGTATGGAAACCCCGATTTGAACTGGTGTTCAACAAAGGGGGAAAAAATTACATTGAAAAAATGGAGGCTCTAGTTAGTGCATAATGCAGATTGGTCTCCTAAATGACATAAAAGGAATAAAAACCATAAACTGCTAGTCACTAAGCCAACCTATTAATCCTTAAGATATTTTTCAATATAATACCCT